CCTTGTCTCAATCTGGGTATTTTTTTACAAATTAGAAGTTGAAAATTCTTTATTGGCTGCAAGCTGGTGGGTTTATTGACTTTCTTTAAAGGATTCCCATATAATGAATATTTGTTGTAAGTCAACAAACATCATCGGCGTATGAAAAGAAAACATACTTTAGCAATTTAAAATACAAACTTTAATTAGGTGTTTGCGAAACTGTGATTGTGGAGGGAATGTAAGCGCACGAGGGGTTTTCGGCAACTTGCGCGCTCGTACTCGTTTACGACATTCACCGTATTTCTCTCAAGAGTTGGGTTAATTTTTTAGGTAAAAGTAAAATAAATAGCCACGAACGTATGGATGACGGAATGAGGTGGAAAACTGTCGGTAGATCGAACGCAAGCCAATCGGCTCCAGAGCTCTATGTAATGCATGCCCAGCGTCGTCTGAAATTTGTGGAAGCTGCTTCGGGACACTGGATCCATATCGAGAAGACCTGAACACAGTCGAACAAGATTCACAACTTTGAGTGAAAATCGTTATTCCGCACTTTCAGAGCAGCGTCACAAGACTGTTACAGCTTCACAGCACTCATATGAGGTGTATGCTGTCATTTGAACCAGATTTCAGGGTCTACAGTTACTCGACGGCTTCATGAGATACAGCTGTAATTCAGAAGACCGGCTTTTTTCGTACCGCTCACTGCAGCACACAAGAGAGAACGTTTAGTATGGTTCAGACAACATGCGCCTTGGATCAGACTTCAGAGGAGCACCGCGCTGTTTACAGATGAGTAGAGATTCAGCCTAGACCCTGATTCCCGGCGTACCTGTAGCTGGAGAGAACTTAGAACACAATACCATCTCTCTCTCTCATCAGGGAAAAGGTTCATCAGAGTGTGAAGGTGTAATGTTTTGGATATATCGTTTTGGTCTGCCGCACACTCTTGCATGTGTTTGTCAAGCTTCCAGGCTGCTCTGAGATATAGAGAGGAGATCTTAGAGCCCTATGTTCGATTCTTCAGGTTGTTCGACTTTCAAGTTCAGACTACTCAGGCGCAGTTGGTATAGGGTTCCTGTTAACGGGCGACAACTGTCGTCCATACAGGACTCAGCTGATCGATGATTACCTGGAAAGTAAGAATATTCGTTGTACGGACTGGCCGGCCAGATCTCCTGCCCTTAACCTATAGAACATATTTGGAACGCTCTTAGGAGGGTAATTTCACATAGCCATTCGCCTTCCGAGAACCATCTCGGAGTTGAAAACTGCCTTTGTTGCAGAAGTGGGATCGAGTGCCACAGGAATTCCTCAGCTACCTACTACCCAGTATGCTGTCACGCTGTGCGACCTTTCTTCTATGAGAATGGACCATATTTCATTTTAGACTCATTTGCAGTTCAATGTCACAAAGTGGATTTTGTACATCCCTGCACTATGAACTTTGCTGATAATCGTGCATACATATAATGAACTTTTGAATGGTACATTTCTTTTTCTGTTATAAATGTAAATTGATACCCTATTTTCTTAAAATCTGTCCATTAGTTTTTCAGAAAATCGACATAAGGTGCGAATTCTCTTAATTTTGCTCACGAGTGTATAACGTGATACATTAAAAAATAAAATATTTAGTCTTCTCCAAATCTTTCCTTAATTTTTTTCGCGTTATTTCTTCTCCCAAATACACAAGGATCTATTTTTGCTAATAAAAGCATCAGAGAATTTCAAAAAATTCGGCATTGCACAAACCTCGGGAATACTGGCTATCTATCAAACGCATCTCCTCGTTGCTCCCTTTAGAGATTTTGTGGCAAAATTCTGTATTCCTGCAGAAATTTTACCTCAGTTTACGCACAAATTTTATAAGCGCACACTTTAAAATTTAGTTGAAAGCAAAAAAATATCTCGATTTATTTTAAAACCGTTGGAACTTGGAATACTACAAAAAAGAACACATACGAAAATGGAGACATTGCTTGACTGAAGGATAGTAATGCGTATGAAAAATTTCCATGGACATGGTTGCTAGAGTACGGCACATTTCGAAAATTTGGCAACTTGGGGTTTGCGATAACACGCAAGTATCCTTTATAAGAGCTCTGCAACCATATATATCTCCGAAAAATGAATGCTTTCTAATAAGACATTGAATAGGACATATTAGTAATGAAATTATCTTCATTTTTCATATTTTCTAGAAGTGCAAATTTTCACATATTTTTTATAACTTTATAATTTTTGTACCCAGAAATTAAGTAAATGTAAACATAAGTTCGCAATATTTTTTGGTATTCATTGTTCGTGTTTTAATATTTTCATAGATAAAAAGATTATTCATAATTATAAATGGGTATTTTAGATGAAAATATGTAATTAAAGAGCAGGGGATACACCATGACTTTTATGTCACTAATTTATTGTGTAAAATTATTACCGTATGTAATTAAATTTAATGTAATTCTTTTTAAATTCGGATTATTATTCCTCTTTTTCAGAGACAATGCTAGTCCATCTTTCTTTGCGATTCATCAATCAATTATCATTTTGTTTTCTGAGAAAATCCATTTGTTTTCCTTATAGGATTGGGTGTAGCGAACCAAACCTACCGCTATTTGAAATTTGTTATAGTGGGTTTTGACTGCATGATTTTCTTTCCCTAGCTGATTTTATTATGATACAATTTATATGTAATACACTCAACGTATAAAATATATGTTAATAAACTGTTTATTCTATTTGCAAGCCTTTGTGTTAGCAGCAAACTGTTAATTGGACAAGAAATTTGCTAATGCAAACTTTAAAACTGGGCAAAAAGGGCAAACTCAGGCTGGCGTAGATTTTAAATAAAACTCTACAGCCGATCTAAAACTGCACTGTAGTCTAATATTAAAGCAGGCTAATGCAGTAACTAAAGTTTCTAATATTAAAGCAGTAAATAAAGTTTATAATATTAAAGCACTAACTATAGTTTTGCGTAATTCGCAGATTTTCGTCAACGTTGTGTTGTGTTGGCCCTATAATCCTTGGTTACTCAATAAAGAAACGAAAATTTTTGTTTGCTCATATGTTCATGATTTTAAAACTAATAATCAACAATTGTTCATAGAAACCATGGTTATATCGCGTCACAGAATTTATATATTCTAACAACAATTCAGTATATTTTAAATTATTTTTTGATGAGCACGTTAATTCAGCATGTTAAAAGGGTGCTACAAAAAACATTGTTTAGAAGTATCTATAATTACTAGTTACGCATAGCCTAATGAAATAAAATACTAAGTATTAAAATTTTTAAAAAATATTAAATAAAATGCAGCATTTTTACAATATTCATCCCGAAAGAAGAATTTATTTTCATAGGTGTAATTTTGCAGTAAATTCATATAGTCCTTATTTTAAATCCCTTACAAGAATAAAAAGAAACTCCTTTGCTAATGGTGAGGTAGGTAATAAAATTAGTACAGACGCCTAGAATCCAGAAATAGATTATGCTCAAATATCATGCATATGCTCATGCTCGAATAAAGTTATAATTAAAAAATTTAATAGGAATATTTTATTCAAATGCGTTTCAGTAACACAAAGCAGTGGTCTCAAACTCAAATTGCATGCGGGCCGAATGTATGATCTGATAACAACTGATGGGCCCAAAATTTTTTTAATAAAATTCAATTTTTTATCAGCAAAACAAGAACATTTTAATTAAATTTTAAATTTAGCTTACTAAATATTAATTAAAACATGCGTAAACAATAATAATAACGCGAAAGAAAACAAATCAAATTTATAATTATTTTTTATATGAAATCTAAAGTTTAGCCCTTACAAGATATTTTTGCTGATTACACTTTGTAATTCAATCATATTGACAGTTAAATATTAAATTTTCAGACAGTCATTTATTTCAGACTATTCTAATTTGTTTAATTAATTATTAAATAACTTACTTTAAATTAAACAAAAAAATTAATTATGAAAACTTTCCAAGTGGGACAAAACCTGAGAATAAATAATGAAAATTTAATCTCTTAGTCTCCTTCTCTCATTTATTAAATTTTTTTGGACTCATAAATAAAAATACTTGTGTATGTATGTAAAAAAGTATATAAACTTTCTTGTTTCTTATTACAGCTGGACTCTTGATAACATTTCGATTCTGATAAAGTTTGTAGTCTTGAAGGAAAAGTTACTGAAAATTATCTTCATCAAGAACAGTAGACCGTTATCGGTCAATCGGGTACTTTTTTTGTTAATTTTCAACAATGAAATAACCTGTTCACTTATAAATGTATTAGCAAATAATGCAATTATTCTTAATGCAAAAATTCGTAACTGAGGGTGTTTAGTTTTGGATAAGTACGAATAAAAGTTAATAAAATCTGTATCTTCAAATCTTTGAGTAAGATTTATATCGGATTGTAAATTAATTATCTCCCTTTATATATTTTCTGGTGCATTATTCACTTTAGTTTTTAATGATAATGAAAATAATGTAATCTTGGACTTCAAATTATTAAAATCTTGAAATCTTTGCAATATAGTACCTGCAACAAATACATAATGGCAACAAATACATTCGGGGCACCGTATTTACTACATTTTTGGCTCCCGGCAGACTGGTGCGCTGGGGCCTCTACGACAAACGCTCATATGAATGAAATGTAAATGAAATATAAACGGATTAGTATCAGGCCCCTATGCTCGAGGGGACCCCGGGCAAGTGCTTGGGTTAAGGAAAGGGCGTAGAGTATGATTTAATACATTTTTAATAAACGAAAGTGAAAGTGAGACTTTATATGCTATACTGTTAGTAAAATGTTTTCTTCAACTTGTTTAAATAAATAAATAAAAAGTAAAAATTAATGAATAAATGTTTAGAAGAAATATTTATTTATAAGCATTTTATCCAATTTAAACAGTGCTACTTTTCATTCGCTATACTTTTACAAGCGTGTGCATTTTTACTTGTGAGTTTAAGTTAAAGTTATTATTTTTGTAATCTGACTTACTTGTAATGAATCGACAGCCAACAAAGAAACGCAGGGCGTGCGACGTAACTGCTCTGTTCTTGTGTCCTATCGGAATTAGATAGCAAGCGGTTTTCCATCCAGTCGATTGGCTAAAGCTATGCTCTCACGAATTTAATCCCCCGGCAACCCTGTGTTCGTGTTTGTTTACGTTCTAAGTGCATGAACTTTTCGAAAAGCTTTCGTTCTGATACGCGATATATGAGCCTGCAGGAAGGGAGGAGGTGAAGAGCAATTGGAAAATAGACAAATGTCTGAGTACTGTCCAAAGCTAGCAGACTTTTTTGGGAGAATTTCAACGCGGTTTCTTAATTAGTTCTACAATAAATAAAGATTTCTATGCTAATTAACTCTTAAATAAAGCTACAGCTTGAAAGCTACAATACATAAATATGTTAACAACAGCTTTATATAAATATAAATCAAATATTTTCTATTTGCTCATATACTACAACACCGCGGAAACAAGACCGAAAGTATATATATATGTTATTCGTCTCCAAAACGATTAAGTTATTAGTTACGAAATATGGGATTTTATTATTTTCAGATGACTGATAGGCAGCAATAAGTCGCTGCTTAAAAAATCGCATGAAAAAATGTATTTACACTTAAAAATTATCAACGTGAAATGAAATTTTAAAAAAAAATTTTTCTTGCATGTTCATACTGAAAGAATATCTCTTGCAAACAGTTGCATGTTCATCTAGTTGTTCAAACCAAAATGTCAAATTGTATTAATTGGACGAAGAAATTTTGTTATAATCTAAATATATCGGTTTTCTATCATAGCCCAAAAATTCCGGAGCAAAATGTTTTAAAATTAACAGCTCAGTGATTTTTTTCCTCTCTTTTTGCTTAAAAAAAAAAAAAAAGTACGATAACTTCGAACAAAAGAAATTATAATTTCCTTAAATTTTGCTTTTCTACTTCTTTATGAAATATAACAAATTCATAGAAGATCCTGATATTAACAAAGCAAAAATGAGCCGAAAAATACTACTAAAATAAAAAAAAAAAATAGGCTATTGCAGCAGTGACAAAAACACATCGGGCGTTTAAAAAAAAAAAAAAAAAAAACACTTCCTTTTTACATATTCCTTGAAGACTTGTTGTAGTACTTACTTACTGCCGATCCATCTTTCTTGATTCATCCTCTGTTCAAATTCATAGCTGTTTGTCCGTTACCGTTCACTATCCATCCCTCTTTTCCGTTTCATTCTCTTTCCGAAAAATCACTCTTTGAGACAGAGAACACTGAAATGGCTTTCATAAACTGAAATGGCTTCTTCGAGGTGTGCCTAACTGCTTCCCTCCGGCTTAGTTTTCGAATTGTAATAGTCATTATATTATTGCAATATTTATTATCTAATTGAAATATTTAGTCTAATATTTCCTTCGACAATTTACTTCACAAATTTCTTTTAACTGCATTATTTATTTTATAAATTTCTTTTTAATGTATATGATCTTCAAATTTTGGTACTGAATAACAATATTTGATTTCGAGAAATTCAGTTTTGTTAAATTCATGAACGCATTTTAAACAGATTCATGAAAATATAAAGAGGCTAATTTAGCATAATCGTATATGATTGAAAATAAAATTGCATTTTACATTTGTGAATCATTCCAAAACTGTTTCATTGTTATTAAATTGTTAACTGTAACGAACATTTATCACGTAATGTTTTCTGTCTCAGCAATAACTTTTGGAAAAGAGAATGAAAGGGAAAGATTCCGACAGTAAAATTTACTAAAAAGGAGGATGGAACAATTTTAATATTAATGCGTGCCTACAGGTTCGTACTAGATTGGATGCACTCAGGTCCGATGATAGGTTGATAAAATTTATTTTATCAAAGGAAACGCTTCAGATTTCTGGAATTTTCCACAAAAATAGTCGGATTACTCTTCATATTATCTCTTCACATTACAATCAGTAGTTACACTTCAAACTACTAAGAACGTTAAACACAACTCAATGCTTAGCGAAGCTAACCCGGAGGTAACTCAATGCTCCGCACTCACGTTGAACTATCAACTCACAACTACAACTGACAGAAGATGCTACCTCCGGTATTATGTAGTTTTCACCTGGCCGCCAAGATATTTCTGATACTTTCTGCATCTCGAAATTGCTGGAAGGTATGAGGGCCGAATATGGTTGCAGTTACACAGAACATCAATTACAGTTATTCAAATACAATATCCATTGCAGTTACACAGGGACTGAACCAAAATGTCATCAAATGGTTGCCATGTTTACCTTCAAAATATACGCATTATGAATCACATGCTCATAATAATATAAATATTAACTACATACCTTAATTTACTATTTCATTTTCTCTTTCATTTTGTAAAAAAAATTGATAGCGTGTTCTTTTGGTACATTTTTCTAAAAACTATTTATAGAAGTCATTAGAATTCTAGAAAATATATTTAACAACAATAAGAAGGTTTTTACTTTTTGGTGTAAAAAAACAAAGTCATATTTTTATTACCTTATAGGGTTATTATTATTTTAATTAACAAGTTATTATGATTTAGACCTTTACTATAACTTCTCCTTTTCGGTTCCCTCACCAGAAATATAAATCGGAGAGTAATTAAGTTGATGTTTTGGGAGATCAAGATAGAGCATGTTTCTGTCTCTCAAGGCCACCTAACTAGGTTTCGCCAGCTCTGATAAGATTTAAATTATTCGGCTTTGCATCATATCTGCCGTCTACGCCCATGAGAAGTTCTGAGCCAACTTAGAATTAAACTGCTTAGTATTCAACTACTAGGCTTAGTTCTGAAATTTATTATTACTTTACGTTGCATCACCACAAGTAGTGGCTGATATCGTGAGCACGAGACGTGCGCTTATGTTCAAGTTCTGATTTTAACAAAAAGGTTATTTTAACCTTTTCAAGACTCTGTAGTTTATTTTAGACACAGCGATAATTCGCTTAACTTTTGTTAGGTATTTGATACTAGTTTACGCTACTAAGGAAAGTCGTACTCTAAGCCTAAAACTTTCAAAATCTTAAGAATTTTAATAACTAATTTTAATAATTTTAGGTGTTACTAAAGAAGCAAACTATTTATATACATATGGAAATTTTGAGTTTTAACATGAATAATTTTCAGGAGCTTTACCTAAAGTTAAACACATTTAGAATGAAATAATGGGGAAAAAACTGTTTAAGTTAGGTTAATACTGAAAATATATCATGTTATATTATGTTATCAAAACATTCAAGAACCTTAATCATTTTCATTTAAAACTTTTTATCAAGTTGTAATAAGATCTGGGTGTTTCATTAGAGAACTTCCTGTTCTCTTGAGAACGAGTCCCAGTATCCACCGTGGAGCCGGTGAAAGTGATCACGAAAGAACGGATACACCGCCAAACGGGTGTAAGGACACTCGTTTGGTGGTGTATCCGTGACTCATCTTGTAAAAATAAGAAAACGATTTTTTTGTCTGCGAAATGCAGAGAGAGAGAAAGATGCGCTCGACCGTCGGTAAAGATGATGTCTTTTCCTTTGTGTAATAGCACTGTAATGTTACTTTTTTTAATTAACCAAGAGAGTCTATTTTAAGTTTAAATAAATGTAAAACGGCAATCTAAATACGCGTGAAAAAACAACTATAAATGCCAAGATGACCGTTTACGGAATGTGCGAAAATTACTTTTCTACAAACTGGTCCGAAACTGGTGGGACAAAAGTATTAATCTTATGCCATAAACAAGTGTCGGCATATCTAGGTCCAAAGATAATCTCGCGAGATATTTTTTGGCACAAATGTTATCAAGGAATGGAAACATATATTCGTACCTGTGATCCTTGTCAAAGAGTGGGGAAATGGGAAAATCTAAATACAGGAAAAAAAGCTCTCCTCAAATTAGTCCCCGTGATATCAGAAGTATTTTCGAAAGTAAACATAGATACGTGAAGACCTTTGCCAACCACGCTTAGATTAAAGACCGCACTTTGTTTATCCTCCAAATATCTGAACGTTATTCTAATAGAAGATATAACTTCGGTTCAGGCGCAAAGCATATGCTATTTTCGGGTACTCGCGTAAATTTGCTAGCTTAGTACAAACAACGTTCAAGATTTTCTAATTTAATATATGTGAGTTTCTAATACACTCCAACTGGTAAAAATCTGTGTAATTTGATAATAGCAATTAATTGACATGTCATAAGTTCAATTGAAACTCTCCTCATAACCTCTTCAATTGCTGATGACATGGAACCGACAGAGAATATGCGCTACTCCAAACTGCCAACAGTCCACGTTAGGCTATGAGAATAAGGAAGCATTCATGTGAAGATAGGTGGGGATTAACCAGTGCAAAACAGGGTTTAAAAAGAAATGCTAATAGTTGCAGAAAACAGTTACATACAAACAATCTGTCTGTTTATACATTATTAAATAATATAAATAGAAACATGATTAAACAAAAGGAAGGCAAATTCAAAGCAAAAGCAATGAATCGTGGGTGGTTATAACATGTAAAATTAGGCGAGATACAAAATACATATTACATGTGTTAAGAGATACGTCTTAATACCACCTTCGGACGTTTCCTATTTTCATGAGCACAATAATCGTAATTGAGAATTGGAATAGTGACATTATTAACATCCGGGATTTTCCGGAAAAAAGGTCTCGGCGAATTTGGCCATGCAGACGTTGGTTTCTGATATTTTGAGTTCCCGGTGAATTGCCGAGTTGAACCAACGGCAATTCACTACTTCACAGAGTACAATATTTTAAGCTATTTGTAGCTTCTGCATTAAGGTTTTACATGCGTATCCCGAGACAGGGCAGGTGTAGGTAATAATGGGATGCAACATAGTTCTGTAAATGAGTAACTAACTATCGATAGATAGAACGCTGTTAAAAGCACTTAAGGAGGCGAGTGTATGTTTACGCTCTCGGAATTTAGTAAGAATATGTGTGATGTGGAGGGACCAAGTAAGCCAATGATCAAGAATAACTCCTAAGTAGCGGGCCCGCTTAGTCAAGGGGATTGGGGTATCATACATCAGTACATCAGTACATGGAGATTAGCATCACATTTTCCTTTTTTGTCAACAGTATAGCATCAGATTTT